ATGCCTCGCCCTGGCAGCACGGTGAGGCGGGCGTGTGCAAGAGACGGCCGGGCGTGGAGGGAGTCATGGCATCGATGGCCGAGCGAATCCGGGGCCACGGGCGCATCGCCGCCGGGCTCCTGTTCAACCTGCTGGTGTCTATCTGCATCGTGTTCCTCAACAAATGGATCTATGTGCACCACGGCTTCCCCAACATGAGCCTGACCCTGGTACACTTCGTGGTCACCTGGCTGGGCTTGTACATCTGCCAGAAGCTGGACATCTTCGCCCCCAAAAGTCTGCCGCCCTCCAAGCTCCTCCTTCTGGCTCTCAGCTTCTGTGGCTTTGTGGTCTTCACCAACCTCTCTCTGCAGAACAACACCATCGGCACCTATCAGCTGGCCAAGGCCATGACCACACCGGTGATTATAGCCATCCAGACCTTGTGCTACCAGAAGAGCTTCTCCACCAGAATTCAGCTCACGCTGGTGAGTAGCTCCAGCTGCAGGAGGCACGAGCCTGACCCCTGGACTACATCCTCCCGGGAAGTTTGAATGCATATTGTTCTAACGTAGCACCACGGCCCCTCCCCTCATCCCGAATCCACAGATGAATCACGCGAACTTCAGGCTAATGGCAGGAGGCAGGAGAAAAATCCTCTGTTGGGCTTTTATCTCAGAAGGGTTTGCTCTTGTGGGTTTTAGCAATTATTATTTGATGGGCTTTCTAAATGCTGTGATTGGTAAGAAAGTGGTGCAACCCATTGTATCAAAGTAACTGCAAAACCTCAAAGTGAAAAGCAGCCCTCCTCCCTAGAGGAAGCACATCACGAATAATAAACGTGAAAAGATCTACCAAAGTCTCAGAATGTGCCTACCAACGTATTGAGGAGATGTCTGTATCTTTAAATAAAAGGAGAGTCACCGAGATAATTTTAGTACTTAGTAACTTGTCATATTTAAGATCTTAAAGTTTTTGTTACGTGTTTATGGGTATATTGTGTAAACACTAGTTTTGGGGTCCATTTACTTACCTGTGCATACAAGTAGTATTTTCTTGCTTAGTGCATCTACTCATTATTTTACCCCAAATTTAAAATAGAATCAAATGTGAGCATCAATATGGAACTACAATTCACAGGAGGTAGGATTAATAATGAGTTTCTCAAATGAAAAAAAAAATTAAAGGCTCATTGTTACCCAGTTAGGTGTGTTTATGATTAGGCTTATAAGACAAGAGTAAAAAGAATACAAAGTGCATGTTTGTTGAACGTAATCTGAAAAGAATTTACCTCTTTTTCTTTGCAGATCCCTATAACTTTAGGTGTAATCCTAAATTCTTATTACGATGTGAAGTTTAATTTCCTTGGAATGGTGTTTGCTGCTCTTGGTGTTTTAGTTACATCTCTTTATCAAGTGGTTGGTAATTTTCTTTTTCTTGATGTGCCTTTTTAGCAGATTTCATAAATTTTGAAGCTGTATCCCAAGGTTTAGAAAATGCAGTATAGAGACAATAGACTGTTGGGAAGAGAGCATAATGCATAAATTGTCTGACTCAAGGTGAAGAGAAGAAAAACAGAAACTTGGGTATATGATGCTCATCTAATACCTACTTGTTTGTAAGTGTATAATGTGCTTAACACACTGAGTTTGGGGTGAAGTTACATTATTTTCTGGAAACCATTACAAAATGAATAATAGTACTTTCTACTTTGTAAGCTCATTGGTTATATTCATCACTCTTTGATTTTGAAGTTGCTATGAAGAAGTGAATGCATTTATGGGAATTTGAACAGAAAAAAAAATTTCAAATTAATAGATTTTTTGCCCTAAGAAACATCCTGCAGTTATAATTTGTATATTGGTTTGTTTTTTGTTTTTTTGTTTTTTGTTTTTTTTTGGTACTGGTGATTGAACTTAGGACCTTGTACTTGTAAGGCAGGCACAGCATTACTGACCTAAATCCCTGGCCCTGTATATTGTTTTCTTAATAGTTTATATCAATGGAATATTTTATAACAATAATTAACTGGGTGTGGTGGTGCACCCCTGTAATCCCAGCACTAATAGGGCTGAGGCAGGAGGATCACCAATAAAGCAAGGCCACCCTCGTCGTCTACATAGTGAATCCCCGTCTCAAAAAAGCAAAAGAAAAAAAAAAAGAGTATTTCACTTTTTCAAGCACAACAGTGCCTTGTCTAATATAGCTGGCATTCATCAAAAAATTTTTTTCATGGGTTCACCTTACTTCATTACCATAAAATCCCAACAAATAATGTTTTTTTATTTCTTATGCAGTGGGGAATAAATAACTTGTTATATCGTACAGGGAAACAGTATTCTCTCTATACTGAAAACGTTGGTCTGGAAATTCTGGGTGTGCCTGTATGGGGAATCAAAGCCAAAATGTGTAACTACTTTTATACTGGATTAGTTTAACAGTGAGGCTAGACAGTAGGTACATCAGAAAGCGTTCTTGTTACAAATATCAGGAGTTCAGTTACCCAGCCCTAGCATCTTAAACTGTGGTTGTAATCATTTCTGCAGCATTGTTAAAAAAAAAGTAATACAGTCACAAATACATTTTTTATTCATAGAGCAATTTAAATAATATGAACACAATAGCATAAAGAGATGGAGCCTTCAGTCCAGTTACTTAGCGCTGTGCTATTCTGTCTTTTATTGCAGAGAATGACCTGAGAAGCTCAGTTTTGTGCTTAAAAAAATTATCTGGATGCACTTATAGTGAGTTTAGGTTTTGTTCTAGGTACTGTAAGTGAATGTTTTATTTATCATTTCTGTTAAATGCATTTTTTTGACCTAAGATGGGTTAAATTTTTACTAAAAGCAAGAATTTTTATTGTTTAATGTTAGTTTCTTCTATTCCTTATATATAATCTCTGTTCTTTTTTTTTTTCTTTCTGGTACCAGATATCACAGTCAGTACTTTGTACTTGCTAGGCAGGTGTGGCTCCACTGAGCTAAACCTCGGGCTCCATTCTGTCTTTTTTGATTCCAAGAATCAAACTCAGGACCTTGCACCTGCCAGGCAGGCACAGTGCCACTGAGCTAAATCCTCGGCCTCACAGTATTTACTGCGTGTGTCAATCTGATCATATTTGTTCACAGAAGTCTTAAAATTACTGTAGATTAAAAATCAAGGGAGGGATGGGGATTTAGCTCAGTGGTTCCGCTGCCTGCCTTGCAAGCTCAAGGACCCAAGTTCGATCCCCGGTACCAATAAATAAATAAATAAATAAATGAATGAATGAATGAATGAATGAATAAATAAAGGGATTCTTTATCCTTAAGATAGATTTTGAAATGAGATTGACCAAGGATTGATTATAGATTAACTAATAAACTATGGGCAGATTCTATTACCAGTGAACAGTAAAAGTACTCTAACAATAGCTAGATTCCCAAAAAATTCCTGTAAAAGTTGTATATGCCTGTTTTCTACTAGAGTAGTTTCTAAGTCATTTCTTCTGCTGGAGACACTAAAAGGAATTGAAAGAGGAATCATCAGCTGTTAGCTTTAGTTGCAAAAAAACAATTGACTTGTACGCTCAGCAGTCATCTTTTCTTCCTGATGCTCATCCTTGGGGATTCATTCATGAGAAGCAGCTGTATTCCAGCCTTATAGAAACATGTAGACAGCTGCTGGCCTCCAGGCGTGAGAAGTCCTGAGGGACCCCAATGGATAGATACCAGTTCTGTATCGGGGTTGAGGAGGTAAGATTTGGGGAAAGTTAACACTTTAAGTTGAAGGATGAACAGGAGTTTGCTCAGCCATGGAATGCAGCGGGTCTGTCCTTGCACTCTGAAAGTACTGAGCATTTGAGAAGAACTGGGTTACTTTAGTGAGGCTAGACCTAGGTGCATTGCAGAGATGGAGCTGAGGTGTGGTAGAGACGGGCTACCTGAGTCTGCTGTCAGAGGAAGTGTGTTTATTCTGCAGACCCCAGAGCAGAAGCTTACGTAGAGGAGTGCTTTGATCATTCCTGTGTTGAAGGAGCATGACTGCGGAGCCCTGAAGGGTCCGTAAGAGGGGGAAAAAAGGTGACTGAGCAGTTGAGAACCTGTCCGTGCTTCAGTAGGAATGAAGGCAGAAGCCTGGGCTAGGGCATTAGTGTGCACCTGGGAAGATGAGAGCCACTCAGGAGGACTTTTCTGAGGAAGAATCTGTAGCACAGGTAGAATGTGAGAGTGAGGAAAGTGAGGAGTGGGACTCCTCAGGGAAGTCATAGCAGGAAGGGTTGGAGTGACACAGGAGAGCTCACTGAAACAGGTTCCTGCAGGCTAAGTGAAGATGGCCAGGAAGCTGAGAGGTTAAAGATACTCAGGAAGCGTGGGAGTGTAGTTCAGTGGTAGTGTGTGTGTCTAGCACCCATGAGGCTCTGAGTTCCGTCCCAAGCATAGCAGAAAGTCTCACAGAGAGGACGTCAGAGCCATAGATGTCAGCAGGTAGGAAAAGAGATGATCAGTCAGTAGGCCCTGTGGATGTGGCTGTGGGAGGTGATGGTGCCCTTTAGAAGAGCATTAGAGGGATGGCAGACTAAAGTTACAGTGCACAGCAGTGCAGAAAGCAAGGCCCACCGTTCCATGGACTTTTGTGGCAGGGGTGGAGGCTCCAGCTGCCCAGTGAGGCTGGAAGAGAAAAGGAGAGGTGGACATGCACTCTCTGCACCCATCTGATTTTTGTTTTGTTTTGTTTTTTGGTACTGGGGAACCCAACTCTTGACTTTGAGCTTGCAAGACAGGCGGCAGAACCACTGAGCTAAATCCCCGGCCTGCGCCCATCTGTTTTTGCTGATGTCCTGGACTCAGGAGAGGGCTGCAGAAGAATCAGTTCTTTGTCCTTTGTATTCACAGAGGACTTATTTAAAGCTGGCAGGAATTTGGTTCAGACTTCCTACTCTTCTGATTTGTCTTGGTGAATTTCTGGACTCAGAGTTTATGTAACAGGACACCTAGACCTACAAGAAAAAGGGTTATGTAGAAGTTATTCATAAGAGTGGCTGTTCTTGCCAGCTCTGAAAGCCTCCTTTTCAGTCATTTTTGAGAACTGATGGGATTTGAGGTTTTGAAGTGTTGCTTCCACTGAATGACGCAGTGTTTTAGGGTTTGTGATTTTCCGATGTACCTAGGTATGTTGATACTGGTTGGGGAATAGTACTCAGAGAAACCATCCATAGAGAGGAAAATTTCTTCTACCTTTGATTTAAGTTTTCTATCGGGACTAAAAAGACCACACCAATACAGGCAGCTACCTGGACAAAACCAAGGTCAATCTGTTAGTCTGTAATCTACCCTATTACCCAGTCTTCCTTTTTTCTTTTTTGACCAATTTTAGAAAGACTGTAGTTAGAGTCTTTCTTGTCACCTAAATTTCCATTCCTGCCTTAATTTGCCAGGATCTCTAATGTGTATGGGCCTCTATATGTGTTTACTTTCCCCTGTTTAATAGGATCAGGTAGGGAAGATTTTTTCTCCCTTCATCAGGATTGAGAAGAATATGTTACCAGAAATTGAATTTATAAGGCTCCTCTTATCCAAAGTGTTTAAAAGAGAATTGGTATATCTGACTGATCTTTGAAATCTTATAGAATAATTAGGCATTTCTTTTTCCCTAGGGCCTGTACCCTACATATCCATCTGTGTGGCTTTAGTTGTATCTTTGATTAAGTGATGCTTTTCTTTTGTGTCTGACTTATTTTGTCTCCTAATTTTCAGTGGGTAGGTGCTAAACAGCATGAGCTGCAAGTAAACTCCATGCAGTTGCTGTACTACCAGGCTCCAATGTCATCTGCCATGTTGCTGGTCACTGTGCCCTTCTTTGAGCCAGTGTTTGGAGAGGGAGGAATATTTGGGCCCTGGCCAGTTTCTGCTGTGGTAAGTTCTAATTATTTTGGTGCTTAAGAACAGAGTAATAATAACCCTTCCAATATTAATATCATTTTTACTTTTTAGAGCATACTATCTCAGTTCTCACATTTAATCTTCTTAATCTCCCTTTATGGAAGACAGGGTAAGGATTATTTTTCAGATGCAGAAATGGAGGCACAGAGAGACAAAGGGACTTGCCCAGGGTCTGATTGCTGGTTAGTAGCCAAACCAGGATCTTCTGATGCCTGGGTACTATTCTGACCATATCATTCTGTAGCCCACAAGTAATTATAATGTTTAACTTTAATTTTTTATAATGAAAATGCAGATTTATTTGTTTTGTTTTATTATAAATAATGAATACTCATTGTATAGATTTTGAAAATACATAAAAATATAAAGAAAGTGGTCCCAGCACTCGGGAGGCTGAGGCAGGAGGATTGCTGTGAGTTCAAGACCAGCCTGGGCTCCATAGTGAGTTCCAGGTCAGTCTCAACTACATAGTGAGACCCTGTCTCAAAAACTCAAGAAAAGCAAACAAAAAAAGAAGCCGGGGAGTGGTGGCTTACACCTGTAATCCCAGCACTCTGGAGGCTGAGGCGGGAGGATCGCTGTGAGTTCAAGACCAGCCTGGGCTACATAGTGAGTTCCAGGTCAGTCTGAACTACATAGTGAGACCCTATCTCAAAAACAACAACAACAAAAAAAAAAACAAAGAAAGTGGAAGCCCCTTGGAGTCCCTAAGTTGCTTTACCATTTTGGTGACAGATCTATTATATATGCATAGATATGCATGTATATGTGTATAATTTTATGTAATGTCATTTTTAAAAAGTACATGTTTGCAGTACATAAAGATTCCATTTATTGTGAGGAATGCGTACATTCACACTTCTGAATGCTTTTTTTTTTCCATCCCCTCCACCTTCTACTTTCATTAAAAAAATTTTTTTGCCAACATCAGGTTCATTTATTTTTTCCTTACTTTTAGAGCCGGGCATAGTCTTGCATGCTTATAACTTCAGCACTTGGAAGACTGAGGCAGGAGGATTGCTGTTAGCCTGAGGCTAACCTGGGCTACATAGTGGGTTGAAGGCCAGACTGAATTACAAAGTGAGACTGTCACAAAAACAAACAAAGTACACCTTTGTATACCTTTGTCATGGTGGATTACAGTAACTTTTTTCTCTCTTTTTCCTATTGTCTGTCTTTTATTTTGTACTTTATATATTTGATTTCTTTTATAAGAGAAACCATACAATATTTAAGATGTATTTCTGATTTACTTCACTTAACCTTATGGTCTCAAAGTATACCTATTTTCCTATAAATGACTCAAGTTTATCCTTCTTTTTTTTTTGAGACTCACTTTGTAGTTGAGACTGACCTGGAACACACTATGTAGCCCAGGCTGGTCTCGAACTCACAGTGATCCTCCTGCCTCAGCCTCCCAAGTGCTGGGATTACAGGTGTGCGCCGCCACGACCGGTTTAAATTTATCCTTCTTGATGACAAACTAGTATGTCATTGTATATAAATAATGCATTTTTAAAAAATCCATTCTTTTTATCTTTGTAAAAATATGGGGGATTGAACTCAGGACCTTGTACTTGCCAGACAGGCGCAGCATCACTGAGCTAAATCCCTGGCCCTCCATTCTTTTGTTGATGAATGTATAGGCTTCTTTCAAGATTTAGTTACTATGAATTGTGCTACTATAACTATGGGTATGCATGTATCACTGTGGTGTGATGTCTTTAACTCTTTTGGGAAGCTACCTAGAAGAGGAATAGCTGGGTCAAATGAAATTTCTTTGTTTTTTTGAGGAATCTCTATATTGTTATATCAGTTTACACTCCTACCAACCTGAAGTTCCTTTTTCCATCACAGCCTGTCCAACACACTTGTTATTGTTTGATTTCTTGATAATAGCCATTCTTTCTGGAGTGAGATGGAACCTCAGTATTGTTTTAATTTGCATTTCTCAAATGGCCCTCAGTGTTGAACATTTTTACATGTTTTGTTACATATGTATTTCTTCATCTGAGAAGTATCATTTCTCATGCCCAGCTTTTTTGGGGGGGCAGGTACCAGGGATTGAACTCAGTACCTTGTGCTTGCGAGACAGGCAATGGAACCACTAAGCTAAATCCCTAGCCCACTGATGCCCATTTTTTACTAGCTTTTTAAATTTGAGAGATCTAATTTTTTTGAGTTCTTTATATATTATACATATTAGTCCTTTGAGGAGTAGCTGGCAAAATTTTTTTCCCATGTTGTGGATTGTCTCTTCACTCTGTTAGTGGTTTGTTTACTATGTAGAAGTTTTTTAATTTGATATGATTATTTGTTGATTTTTGGTATTATTTCTTGTGCAGCTGGGGTTCTGTTCTGTTCAGAAAATCTTTTCCTACACCTATGTCTTCAAGAGTTTCACCTATTTTGTCTTCCGGTAGATTGAGTGTCTTTTTTTGTAGATATGGATCTAGGTTCAATCTTCTGCATGGGAATAACCAGTTTTCCTAGCATCATTTGTTAAAGAGGCTGTCTTTACTAAGGCAAAAGGATTTGCCCCCTTGGTCAAAGATAAGATACCTGAGGGTGCCTGAAGTTTGTTCTGAATTCTCTATTGTGTTCCATCAATCCACAACTCTTTTTTGTTTTTGTTGTTTTTTAAAATTTTGTTTTGTTTCTTGCCAATACCATGCTGTTTTTCACACTGTAGCTTTGTAGTATAACTAGAGGTCTGGGAATGTGATGCCCCTGTCTTGCCCTTGTTGCTATTCTAGGTTTCTTCTTGTTCTGCATGAACTTCAGGATGGCTTTCTCTAGTTCTGTGAGGAATTCTATTAGTATTTTTATTGGAACTGTGTTAAATCTGTATAACAGTTTTAGAAGTATGGCCATTTAGACTACAGTAGACCCTTGACCTAGAAACTCAATTCGTTCATGAGGGCTTGTTGTAACTCAAGTTGGTCAGTTGAAGGCTCAGCATTCTCTCTCTTTATACAGGCAAATCTCATTGTCCTTAGACATTGACCCAAGATCTCTCAATTAACCCCACACTGCAAAGGATGTTGTAATGTTCCTTCCAGAATTCTTTAAGGGTTAAATCTGTATCTGAGACCCATCTGGAAGCACAAGCAGCTGGCATTCAGGTTATAACACAAGACTGGTGGTAAGTTAAAACTAAAACTGTTTTAACCCAAGTTGTTCATATGTCAGGCCAGTTGTAACTCCAGGGTCCACTATATATAGTTTCTGCCTATCAAGGAACCGGGGATATCATTCCATTTTCTTTCTTTTGGGGGGTTTTTGTTTTGGTTTTTTGAGATAGGGCCTCACTGTGTAGTTAAGGCTGACCTGGAACTCACTATGTAGCCCTGGCTGGTCTTGAACTCACAGTGATCCTCCTGCCTCAGCCTCCCAAGTGCTGGGATTACAGGCATGCACCACCATGCCTGGACTATCATTCCATTTTCTGATGTCCTTTCCAATTTCCTCTTGCAGAGTACTGTAGCTTTTAATTCCTTGGTTAGGTTGATTTCTAAGTATTTAATTTTTCTTGATGGTATTTTAAAAGGTATTGTTTCCCTAATTGGTGTACAGGAATACAGATTCATTTGTTTATTTATTTATTGGTACTGGGAATTGAACTTGGGACCTTGCACTTGCAAGGCAGGTGGTGAAACCGTTGAGCTAAATCCCCAGCCCTAGGAATACAGATTTTGAGCATTGACTTTGTATCCTGCTATGCTACTGAACTTCGTTATTAATTCAAAGAATCTTGGGCTGGGGATTTAGCTCAGTGGTTCTGCCACCTGCCTCGCAAGCATAAGGACCGGAGTTCAATCTCTGGTACCAAAAAAAAAAAAAATTTAAGGAATCTTTTCACAGAGTTTTTGGGGTCTTCTATGTAGAGGATCATGTCATCAGCAAATAATGATAATTTTTTTGGGGGGGTACCGGGGATCAAACTTAGGACCTTGCACTTGTGAGGCAAGCGGTAGAACCACTGAGGTAAATCCCTGGCCCCCAAATAACAATAAGTTATTTGTTCTTTTGCTGTTGATACTCTTTTATTTCTTTCTCTTGTCTTAACTGCTCTAGCTAGTGTTTTGAGAATTGTATTGAACAGGAGTGGTGAGAGCAGACATCCTTGTCTTGTTCCTGATTTTAGAGGGAACACTTTCAACCTCTTTCCATTTAGTATGATGTTGGTTCTTGGTTTGTCATAAACAGCTTTTGTCAGATTGAGATAAAACCTTCTTATATATGTTTTCTTCAGGGTTTTAAATCATGAATGGATGTTGGATTTTGTCAAATGTTTTTTCTGCATCTGATCTTGTGATTTTTGCCCTTGCTTTCGTGTTTATTTGCTTATTATATTTATTGGTTTTTGTGTGTTGAACCATCCTGCATCCCTGGAATAAATCCTGCTTAATCATGTTGTGTGATCTTTTTGATGATTTGCTCTATTCTGTTTTCCAGTATCTTATCTTATTGAAGACTTTTGTATCTATGTTCATTAGAGAGATTGGCCTGTTAGTACTGATTTTTAGTTGAGAATAGAGTTTGCAGAGTGTTATATTAGATCTTCTCTAAGTTCTTCTAGAACTTGGCAGTGAATCCACAGGGACCTGGGCTTTTCTTAGTTGGATTTTTGTTATTTCTTCAATTTCATTATATTGATACTGGATTATTTGGGATTTTTATATCATCTTGGTTCAGCTTTGGTAGTTCATATATATCTAGAAATCTATCCATTTCTTCTGAATCTTCAAATTTTGTTAGGGTACAGGTTCTCAAAGTAATTACCAATGATCTGGATTTGAGCTGAATCCGTTGCAGTTTTGCCTTTTTCAATCCTAATTGCATATATTTGGGTCTTTTCTTTCCTTCATTTGGTAAGATTGGCTAAGGGTTTGTCTATTTTGTTTATCTTTCAAAGAACCAACTCTTTTTTTTTTCTTTTTATTGAGGTTATTGGTACAATCTAGGTATAC